TGCTGCCACATATAGAACATGTACCCAGAAAGAGGCCGTATGGAGTCAAAAACAGCTGAGACTTTGAGAAAAAAGGCAGAAAACTGATGGAATCATTAAAACCCCTAAACCAATCATGCTTGAAACTAGATCTCCCTTCTTAATCACCCCTATTTTATAGGTTAATGTCATTCCTTTCCAGCTTATGCTAGTTTGACTTGGGGTTCTGTACCATACTATCCAATGAGGCCTATTATGACTGGTTGGGCACTCACAACATTCTTGATATGTATCCCTGACAGATGATAATTTTTGTCCTTCACTGAATAAGTTTAGAACATCTTTGAAATAAGGATTACTGAAATCTTGGGCTTTTCTAAAAAACACCCCATCGAAACACAGTTCCCTCACATACTTTAATGGCAGTAATACACAATCTTTGACCTTGTGCACCAGAGCACTGTCATAAGACATTTCAGACTGGTTCCAGAGACATCCAGCCTAAGGCTACAGTCTCAGAGTGGTCCCAAAGGCGATTTGAAAGATAAATGCTCCCTGCTGTATCAAAAGTCAGAGGTTAAGGTTTGCCAACTTCTCCTTTAGAGCTCATTATAGGCTTTATTATGCAAAACTGTATCTAAGCCAGTATCTGCCAATGTGTGTTTTACAAAAAAATAATTTTTGATATAAGTCAGGGCAGGCACTGTCTCTCTTGTGGGTTCCCTTGCTATTTACGTAGTGCCTAGCACAGTGGCTAAGTGCACGTGGGAGGCATATAATCAATATTGAATAGGTAATATGTGTTTTAATGGAAATTTTTAGGAAAAAGGTTCTTTGGTCTTATGTGAAACCATTGTACATAATTATACTTGTTGATTACCACAGCTGCTTCAGATGAGTGAGAATTAAAATTCAGGCCGTTCTTTGACAGGCTTTACTGCAGGACTTCTCAGCAGTCTGTGAATTTTGAATATTTAAAATGGTAGATATAATACCAGACATATATTAAATTCTATATAACTAGACACTTTTTTCTTTATAATCTCAGAAGAAACATAGAATTAAGCAGATTGCTTCATAGGAGGTAGAGGTGACAGAGAGAGAATGGATGATGGGGGAAAGAGTTATTACCAATTTTTTTTCTAACTAATGAGTTTCCTACTAATGGTGTCTCTGAGGAGAAATCTCACTTTTTTGGATTTACCCGTCAATAATTTTTAAAGCATTTCTACCCGATATGGTAGCAAAACAATGTACAATAGTGTTCATGGCTAAAGACGAAGATTTTTCCCCTTTATTCATCACCCCATTCTAGATAGTGTTAGACTGCTTCCCCCCCCCCCTATTTTATTGAATTATCTGAAGGAATGTCTAGATTGGTGCTTTCTCTCTTAAAATGTTTTATAAAACAGTAGTTTGTGAGATACTACTCTCTCTCTTTTCCTTTTTTTTCTTTTGAAAATGGAATCAAATTCCACTGAAAGAAAATAAATGCCCTGAAATCAGATCATTACAATCTTTTTTGATAGGCAATGGTGGTAAAACATCAGAGTCTCTAGAAATTACTGTGAAAAAAAAAAGTGTCAAAAATTCTTTCCTTTTATAGATTATAATCTATTCCTTATAGGTCAAAAGATTTTAAACCAAAAGGGGGAAAAAAAGTACATGTAATAGTGAGCATTATATTATAGTACTTAAAACATAGGTGTGACCCCAGGGACTGAGCTCATGAGCTAATCAATCATTGAGAAACCATTTATGCAAGCTTAATTTACAATATCTGTATGGAATGAACCAAAATATATTTTCTATGTTGACCCTGTTATTTATTCCTTGCCCTTATCCTATTCTCCTTTGCATCTGTTCAAGGTTGGAAGCTGACCCCAAAAGCTTAATTTCATAGCTTCCTGAATTAGTCATCTTTCAACAGATCAGCCAATGATAGGCTTTGAGAGTCTGGAAGGCATGAGGACAGAAGAAGCCTCAGTGTCTCTTCATCATCCTCTCTCTGACTCAGTTAGCAAATCTGGCAACAATATATCTTTTCATGATTCCAGCTTCTGCCAGACAGGCCAGTCATGCCTGATGAAAGAGATGATGGTAGCTTGCTCTCTGAACTGGTTCACCATCCTCTGTTGCCTTCTCTGCTCCTCCATCACCTACATAACCAATTCCGTTCACCATATTCCTTCTGTTGGAAATGCTTCGTGATGTTTTCTTTTTTTCTGGTTGAATACCAACTAACAAACTTCATTCCATTGCAGACACTTTTAAGAGAATTCATGGACACGCATGGGGAAGCCTTTTTCTTGTTTAAAATAGAATGAGAAAAGGCTCACACATTGTGAAAGGGCATGAGACCTGTCTTCAAGGTCTTTCCCACTTCTTCCTTATGTGCATTTCCTAATGACACCTAAAGAAAGAAGCCTTATTCAACTGAGTGGAGTGGCCAAGCTTTTTTTTCCAGAAAAAAAAACTATATGCAATAACCAGTTTAAACTGAAATCCATTAAAGCACATAAATGGCAGATACTTCTGATTGAATAGAAAGAAACCTAGATCTCAGTGCTCACTCTATTATCCAATTTGAGACACACTGTCCTGGCTGAATTAAATGATCTTTATGAACAATTTTTCTCTCATATGTTCTTAAAACAAAATAATAAAACCCCATATATGCAAACAGAGACAGGAACGCTAAAGTGTATGCACCAAATATGTGGTCCTTCCCACTGCGTGGCCCAAGCTGAGGTGAATAGGGCACACACAGCTGGCCAAGAAAAGCCATCAGTGTAGGAAGAGACCATCTAGTTATCAATCAAATCAATTCTGCAAATAGATACTCAGTCTCAAGACTGGGCAAAGGAATATGCCAATCACCGTTTTCTCGGGGTCTTCAAATAATAAATGGAACCAAACACACCCTTTAAAGTTTTAAAAGTAAAAAGCAACGCCATTCAAAGGAAGACTGCATCAACAAACCTCAGAAATATTTTTCTTATCCCCTTGGTATACTCCTGTCCCATCTAGTCTCTATTTCTCCTTTAGCTCTTAGTCTGTAACTGCTGAGTTATTAATAACACATCTTGTGCCTTCCTATGGGGCTTACTATTGTGATATGATCTTTCTTTTTTTCTTCAAATCATTGGGATTAGTTTCCTTATCAGTTGAAATGGTTACAATAGCAGGAATTTTAAAACAGCAGAACCTAGGCCTACAATCTAGAAGCACACACCACCACATGAAAATTAATTCAACAATTTTTGCCTATTTACATAACAAGGACAAGGCTGGATCAACCTAATCCCATGTTTTTAAAAAGCAATGTTAGGCATCTGGCATTTCATTGCATTATCATTTATGACTTCCTCAGCCATCAGCATCTAAGGAATGTTTTAAAAGTGTTTTAACACCTCTAGCAGAGACACAGTTGTTGCCCACTTCACCTCACCCATGCCGTTTCAGTGGATATCAGCCTGACATTCAAATACTAGAATCTGCTTTTTTTTCTTTCTTTTTTTGCCTGTGGATTTTTTCTTGATGCTGGAAGCTACTTTTCCCACCTTTATGCCAGATCAGGACAATCAGGGAATTCACGACTCCCAGGAGCAGCCCTCAACCACCGACAATCTTCCTCGGGTGGCACGTATCTGAGGAAGGTATCAGTGGGATAAGAACAAGTTGTACATGGCGGTGTTTTGCTTGATAATGTATCCTTTACTGTCTGCCTCCAGCACGCTGCATCATTGCCCCACTCCCTCCGCAGTGTTCCCTTCATCACCCAAATAATTTGCACTCAAAACCTTGTTTCTGGGGTTGCAGCTAAAGGAATCCAAACTGAAAGAAAACCAAATTATTTCTCAACTCCCTGGGGGAATATCAGCCAGTGCCAGCAAGGTGAATCAGCCTCATGTAAACTCAGATTGTCTAGGGGAGAACCAAGTGGAGAGATGTTTCTTCTGATAAAGTCACAGTGATTAATGGAGAAAACAACAATCGTAGCAACACTTCACTTTTCTGTGCTCTGCTTCCTCACATATCAGCCTGTCTGGCTTATTTAATCAGAGCACCTTTGGGCACAATGACATAGAAAAGCCCTGCACTGAAAATTAGGAAGACAAGTGCCCAGGAACAAAGGCCATGAATAGCCCACCATTGTAATTATCGTGGGCCATGCTCACTCACTGATCAGCTCTGCTACTTCATTTATTACTTTGCCATTTAAGATGCCAGTGAATTATGAAAAGATTATATCCTTTTCCCAACCATTACAATGATGCTGTTTTTGTTTCTCTTGCTATAGAGAACTATAAAAATTAGTTGCAAATTAGTGCCAATTTAGGTTACATTTTAGAATTTTAAGCAGTGAACTGTGAAACGGTTATAATAAAAATGTATTTATTCTTTCTGACTCACAGCATCATATTGCTGTTTTTTGGGGGTAAATATATTATCTTTCCAAATACAGCTTTGCAGCTGATTTTAACAGATTTTACACGAAGTGTACTGGCTTCTAAAAATAGGGGTGTCTATGTGTCAAGACTAGACTTTTATTGTTAGCCTCCAAGCTTTTCCATTACTTACCACCTTCTCCACTTTATGGGCCATTACACAGTACCATAAAGAGTAGTTATTTCCTGTGGAGAGTTATTTTCCTTTGGATTGCAAATTAGGTTTAGGCAAATAAAAAGAAACAAAACGTTAGCTTATTGAGAGAAACAATTAATAATCTATTTCCATTGCTCTTGGCAAAACATAAACAAGCTCTGAATTAAAAAACCATTATTTAGTTGGAAAAAAAAATCATAAAGATGTTTCATTTGCTTTTTGTTTTCTGAAGTCTTCATTGGTCCAAGGGAGAAAGCACATCATTTCTACAAAGGGATGCCATGAGCTTTTATGATAAGTTCTATCATATTTTTTGTGAACTATCAAAGTCAAAAAAGGATATTGTGATGAGAAAAAAGTAAAGATAACCAAGGAAATTTAAAGGCATTTAGCCACTCTGCTGATCTCTCTTAGTGTTTTTGTATCGTCAGCAATGAAAAGGAAGCAGAAGCCTAGAGCCCAGGATAAAACAAGAAAACGGGCACGTTATAATAATAAGGTGAAGAGACAAAGATTCCACTGTCACAGAGAACCTCACATTGCTTAATTTAAATTTAAGGAGTTACTTAAATGCATGGCCTATGGATATTTAATAATATGTTATGGTTCATCTGAACTTGTCAGTTGGCCCCAAGCTGCGATAATCAACTTTTCAATGTCAGACTCATTTACTCCTCGAAGAATCCTGAAATAGCCATTCTCTCCCCATGACGTTCCCCAGGAATTGGCAGCGATCTGCAGAAAAACAAAAAAAAATGAAAAAGCTGAGTATCATGCTTTGATATTTTAAAATTCTGCCTGTAAAAACACAGGTAACTCATGGGTAGCTTTAAATGCCTTTAGACTTTTTATGAATTGTAATTATTAAGAACATAAATATTTTCTAAATAAGAACAAATATTTTTAAAATATATTACTCATCCTTTAGATTACTATACATGTATATTTATGGTGGCAACAACCAGGATTGGTTTAATACTTCTAAACCCCCAGAGGACAACAGTAACATATGCATGAGAACTTGACATGCCACATGAGAAGACACCCAAGCTGCAGTTACAGTGTCTACTCTGTGACTGGCCCAGTGCTAGAGAAACAAAGACAGAGAAACTGGCCAGAGAAACAAAGACAAATCATGCATTATCCTGTGTTCAGGGAGCTAATGGCCTAATGAAGCAGGACCAACATAAGGCAAGTGCTAAGGTAGAAATATGCAGAGTGCTGCTGAAGTCAGCAGAGAGGCATCCGGCTTATTTGAATGGTTCAGGGAAATTTTCAAGGGGGAAATGTCACATGAGATGCATATTAAAGCTTGAGCAGAAATTAACCAGATAAAAAGAGGAGGAGGGGAGATTCTGGTAAAAGGAAAAAGTAACAGCATAAACACCAAAGCATGAAGCAGCACAAAGCAGTGAAATGAACCAATGAAATTGTTATAAAATTAGGTTGTAAAACAGAAGCAGGTTGGTAGGTTATGAGGCTGGAATGGGGGGTGAGGACATCCCTACAGAGCAAATAATAGTGAAAGTGATGGCAGGTTGTTGAGTGGCTTCCAGCAGAAGAGCAAGGTGAAAAAATTTATATTTTGATTATATTATTTCGTATGAAGTGAGATGGATGGATTTAAGAAGGTAGTCACAAGAGGCAGGGAGACTAGCTAGTAAATTTGTCACATAATCAATTTGGATGACTGAACAGGGGCAGGGAAAATAGGGAGATAAATAAAGTAGTTGAGTACTATTCAGAAATAAAAATCAACAGGAATTAAACTTTTTCTTCCATTTTTTTGTGTTTGTTTTTTTGAAGATGAGGATGGCTAGAGAGTTAGGATAGGTCTAGAATGTCTCCTGGGGTTAGAGCTTGAGGAAATAAGTATATAGGGAAGCAAAAAAATTAATGCAGCTTATAGAGAATATCGTAAAAGCCAAAAGGGCACAAAGAAGGCAGTTACTGGACCACAACTAAATGGAAAGAAAAGCTCAGTAGATGACAACTGAAATTAATCTTGGGATTTGGTAAATTAGAGGCTTTACAACAATAGCTTCCACACTTGCCTCACATTCACTCTGCAATGAGCCCAAGGTGCAAAATTTTCTCGCATGTGGTCTAAGCTGATATTCTCAAGGTATAGGATGCTGCATTGAGTTTTTCTGCTTTCTACCATGTAAAAGAGGGCAGAGTCACTCAGCATCAAAATTGCCAGCTTTAAGAAAGGACTGATTTTCATCATTTCTTTTAAGATTTGGCTCTTTGCCTTTTCTTCCTCTAGCTTTGTTGAGATACTATTGAAATGTAAAATATGTACATTTAAGGTGCGCAATGTGATTAGATTCACGTATATATTGCAAAATGATTACCACAATGTTAGTTAACATCTCTCTTTCTTCATGTGTTTATGATTTGTGTGTGTGTGCGTGTGTGTGGTGATTAACATTTAAGATCTACTCTTCTAGCAACTTTCTAGTATATAATACAGTATTGATAATTATAGTTGCCATGTTGCACACTAATTAGATCCCCAGATCTTATTTAGCTTATGGGCAGGAGTGTGACCATCTCCCCATATCCTCCAGTCCTAAGCCCCTGCCTGGCAACTGCCATTATCGTTTCTATTTCTATGAGTTCAGTTTTTTTTTTCTTCTTCATATAAGTTAGACCATACAATATGTGTCTTTATCTGTCTGACTTGTTTCACTCTAGCATAGTGCACTCAAGGCACATCCATGTTGTCACAAAAGGCAGGATCATCTTCTTTATGACTGAATAATATTTAATTGTACTATCAATATGTAAATATGTATTTATTGGATAATATTTAATTGTTCTATATCTCACATCTTTTTAATCCACTTGTCCATTGATGGACACTGAAGGTGTTTCCATGTCTTGGCTATTGTAAATAATGCTGCACTGAACAAGGAAGTGTAGACACTTCTTCAATAGTCTTTTTTTTAAATGTCCTTTGCATATATACCCAGATGTGGGATTTTGCTTCATTATACGGCAATTTGCAATTTTCATTTTCAATTTTTTGAGGAACCTCCATTCTGTTTTCCTTAGAGGCTGCACCAATTTATATTCTCCCCAACTGTACACAAGAGTTCCCTTTTCTCCACACCCACAACATCACTTGTTTCCTGGTGTTTGTTTGTTTGTTTTTTGTTTTAGCTGAGCCATCCTGCCACCTGTTGGCAGAATAACAGCCATCCTAACAGGTGTGAGGTGTGAGGGGAAGTGAAAGCATACAAAAAATGGTAACTATATGAGGTGATGGATGGGTTAACAAACCTTATTTTGGTAAGCATTTTGCAGTGTTTACATATATAAAATCATCAATTTATACACTTAAAATGTAAACTTATTTTAAACTTAGTATCCTGACATACAAGTTGTGTATATGATATAAAGATAGGGAAAGTTTGTTTTCACTTCCCTTAGACATATATTATACTTTATCTTCACATACCATGAGAATTAGATCTGTAGCCATTTGTCTAGTTAATTGCTCTGACCCCAAAAGGATAATAAAACTTCTCTTATCTCCCCAAAAGGGTCAAAGTGTTAAAGACTAGACAAGGTCCTAAATTAAGACCCAGGGTGCCAGAAGTGCTGGACCATATCTCCCTCTCCCTTGGTATTTACATGTTAAAGGGTGGAAGCCCATCACTTGGAGACGTTATCTGGTATTTATCTTGCCCTTGGAAAGGCATATTTATACTTCTAAGGGTTAGGGTAAGAATATAGGACCCTTTACAGCTCATCTTAACAGAATATATGTTGTTTTTGTTTGTTTGTTTTCTCTCCTTCCAGGAAAGGAGAAGGTTGCCTGTCTCTCTCCCCAAGTGGAGAAAATCCATTGTTTTCTGTCCCTCATTTATGGAGTAAACTGGTGCCTCCATAGAAAAATCCCATTGACTCTCATCACAGCACCCGCAAAACCAAAGTGTGGGGACCAATGCTGTGACATCTGGCTGTTGATCTTGTCGTGAGTATCTAATAAGAACTCTTTTCTTCTGACCCACATACTTTTATGCAAGGGGCTCACATCCCAGACCCTTCACAATTCTTCACAAAACAGTGCAATAGTCCTTAACATTTTCATATTTTAATAAAACCAAGTTTTATACAAAATGAAAATGATTTTAGTGAGTTGACTGAATTTATAGATTAATGTTATTTATTCACTCATCCAACAAATATGGTTTATATTTCCAATATGTACTAGTACTTTTGCTTTGCCCTTTGGATACGTTGGAAAATAAGGTAGATGCGATTCTGGCTTAGCATGAGTACACATTTTAGTGGAGGAAAAAGTTAACCAAAGTTTGTGAATAAAATATGAAAAATTTTCAGTCTGATTCTTGTATACCTACCACTCACATTAAATAATATACCCAGAAGAGTAACAGTAGAAAGAAATCCTGCCCCTATGCACATGAAATAATGTTTTCTTTGAAAATTTTTGATAAATAGTAAGCTCTGAATTGATAATAATACAACAAAAGTAGTTTAAAAGGGTAGTGTGCATGTGTTGAACACGAGTGTGAGTGTGTGTGTATTGTGAGTGTGTGTATGTGCATAGCGCCCACAGGGCTATAAGGTGGAAATAATGAGGTTGAGGGAAAGAGGATCATAGAAAGTTTTCCTTTGCCCTTACATTCATATTCATAGTCACTCAGCACACTCACATTTACTCAACAAGTACTTATTGAGTGATTTATGTTAAGAACTGTTGCAAGACAAATATATTAAAGAACTTTTTTATGTCTGAATATTATTAAAGATAATAGAAAAAATGCTCAAATTAATTCAATATAAATCCTATATAAAGACCCAATTGCAGGTGTTCAAATAAGATATCCTCTTCCATATATTATGGGTCTTAGCTCTTGAACATTATTGTTAATTATTGGCTACTTCAAGCTGTATTTTAATGAGAAAAATGGTATTTAATAAAGCTGAGTTTAAGTACAAAGAAACATAATTCTACTTAAAAGCATAATGATTTCATATATCAAGACAGATAAAACACAAGACCATATACTTGGGTGATTGATTTTTGTGAGTGCCTTGTAGAGAAATCTAATTAACAAGAGTTACTATAGTGAGTATAACTACTATATTTGGTGTTTTATTAGTTATAATAGGCCCTCTACTGCACGCATTCAAGTTCAAAGTCCATGATGAATATCATCACCTAAACTTAATATTATTCCTGAAAAATAAAAGGTATAAAAAAACTTGGGGTGATTCATCAAAGTTTACTGTAATCAACTGAACATTTGAGGTAGTATGTTACAATCATTTGCAAACAGTTTTTTACATGTAACTTCCTATTAATTTTAAGACTAAGCATCTGTTCTTTTTCCATAAAGAAACATGTACATGTTATAATTGGCAAAACACTCTACACCTATGAATAAATAATTGACACACACATTACATAAACATCATTCATAGCAAAAATAATGTAAAAATACAAAGTTGATAGACATGTATGGGAGAAGTCTAACCATTACTTTAAGTTTAATATAGGTGCTAGTAGAAAGAAAAAGTTTTCCTATTGATTCTCATTTTGAAAATAAAATACTGTTTTTCTACAATTTGGAATAAGGAGGCTTGAGGAAAACTATTACTATAATATTAATGAGTACAATGAGTTTTGTGTTTGAGGAAATATTGATATTACAGACAATAATACAGTGACTTATGATGTGACTAAATAATAAAAAGCAAGAAGTAGAGACCTTAAAGATTCTAAAATATACACTTCACAGTAGAAATTCAAGTAGAGTTAGTTACATACCCAAAATTTTTCTTTTCGCCCCTGGGCTCCTCTCAGTGTGCCCCATCTACAAAAAGTAATAATAATAATAATAATAATAATAAATATTTGTATGGTAAAAAATGTTTTACTTGCATCTTGATAAAATGAAAATTACTTCCAGGATTGTATCTTTTCCATTTTCCTTTGCCCCCCCCCCCTTGTTTTACTATGGAACTGTCATCATTGCCCGACAACAATCTACTTGTATAGTTTTCTTTTTGACTATAACATTATTCACTTGTTCAAAATATACTAACTTATATTCAAATGATTTGAAATAAAATTCATTTATTAAAAGAGATAAGTCCTAGGGCAACTGGGATAGGAAGGTTTTATTTTTTGTTTATTTATTATTTTATTAAAGTATAGTTGACATACAATATCATATTAGTTTCAGGTGTAAAACATAGGGATTCAATAGATAAATGGACAAAGGAGGTGTGGTACATACATACAATGAAATACTATGGCATTAAAAAAATGAAACCTTGCCATTGTGACAATGGACCCAGAAAGCATTATGGTAGTGAAATAAGTCAGACATATAATGGAAAGACAAATGCTATATGATTTCACAGAAGATTTAAAGTGCTTAAAGATGCCTCCCCCTTTACATCTAGTCCTCTGAAACTCTACCCTAAATGGCGCAAACTATACAAATCTCCAAGACTAGTGATAAGAAACATTATGTGAATACAGATTATTGTTGTAGACAAGAAAATTTATATAAAAATTATTCATATGTATATGTTATTTTATAAACTGGCTATGCACCTAATGTGGAATTTCTCTATACATGTGTGCCTTTGGAAATAAAATCCTGTATTCTTAGTACTGGCCCATTTTCAATGTAGCATGTAACCGTTCACAAAGAACCCAAATCTACAATATCTCCTTTTTCCTTTTGACTAAACCCAGTGAGGTAGATGTTAATAACATGTTCGATTTACTAATGAATTAAAAAGACTTGTCCAAGATCACAGAGTAGAAAATGTTGAGCCAGGACTCCAAGTCCCATACCCTTTTAAACATGTTATATTGCTTCTTTTATAGAGTCCCCAAATTCAGTGTGTCCTGAACAGCATCAGTTTGATGTTGAGAAAGCATAGTGACTACCTCTATCACGTGATTTAATGGATTGTGAGAATACAGCTCTGCCCACATATCCCCCCATCAATCCCTCCCTAATACCCCCAATCCCACCATCAGAACTCCTTCAAGCTAAATTGTAGTGTCCCAGTACATAACAAACATTCCCGGAAGAGATACAAATTTGCTGTTCAAATGTTTTCAATATGTCAGTTTGCAGACAGTTATTTTTCATAGCACAGACTAGAATAATGGCACCATGGCATGGAGGTATTATCTGAAGATGATAGGTTTTATGGTAGAGACCTTGAGGCATTCAAGAAAATATATTAATACATTTGGATCTCTTGGCATAAGAATGAGGGAAGAAAAAAGTGATTTGAGGAATGAGAACCTGAAAAATAAATTTTCTTTCTCTTGTTCCTGATGGGGGCTAAGTGTGCTAATTACACTGATGGCCATCTCTCTTCTAATTCTCTTGCACACAGGGGTAGACCAGAAACACAAGGCTTCAAATATTCTAGACAGTTTAATGTGTAAGTTCAAACTGATTCAATTTCAAAAACCATTTTTGTAGTTTTATAATTTATTTTTTAAATTGTCTAAAAAGCCACCACCATTGAAAAAACTTACCAATCATAACACGTGCCTCCAAACTTCAAAGATCAATATGCACTTCAAGTAGTAGATGACACCTGAAACCTCATTTCTACTCACATAACACGGCCATCGAAATGATTTTAAAAAGGCTTCACCACTCACACTTCATTTCAGATAATCTGCCTACTAGTTACTTTAGCTATTTCTATAAAATACAAAATACAAGACAAAATTAGAAGAATCTAAGGAACCATTTAATTCCAAAATTATGTAGGAAGGAGAGGAAGCCCATATCTGAGATCCAACCAGATATGGTAGAAGTTTGGGGCAGTCTTGCTTGAAGCACTAAGGAGCCTCCTAAGAAAGAACTTTCAATCAAGAAAGAGGTACTCAGACATGGCAATCCTGATCCAGTAATCAAGCCTTGATCAAAAGAAAGGAAGAGTAAATGAGAGTGTAACTTTTTCCCTATCACTCAGATTGGTCCAAACTCAGCCTCACGCTGGACTCAGGTACGTTTAGGATTGCAAAAGGAATAAGTTCAACTTGTTATTAAAACCTGAAAGAGTTACTTTGCCAAAAATCCTGTATGTTCTATGAAACACTTTAATAACACTTAAATAAAGGGTAAGACCAAAAGTGGATAGAGGTTTCTTTCTCACTTTGAAAGATGTTTCAACTTCTTGGGCTCCAATACATTAAGGATGGGGCATGAGAAAATAAAGAAATATGTAACAGAGGGAACAGAAGAGATATGCAAGTTAAATACACCATGAAATGAGTATTACATTTATTAATAAGACCATTTTAGATACCCCTAGGAACTCTCAAAAACATTGAGGCAGTATTTGGGGGCATGAAGATCCACAACTGTATATGGAATTAAAATTTAGTAGAATAATGACTGTAGATAATTCCATTACCAACAGACCAGAGACCAACTAGTTCTAAAAAAACCAGAACATTTCTTCACAAAGGAGTAGAGGCACTTCAGATTGTGATTGCATAGGTTTTCTTTTTTCTAATACCAACAAATTATGAGTAAAATAAACTACCTTGGTTTGGCGACACTTAAGTAATATAAACTATCACTTTGACTTTCGTTCAATTGCCTATTATTTTTCATGTGTTCCTATAAATTTTGTTATGATTCTCTAAATAATATTTTCAATAATAAAATAGATAGCAATGATCCTTATCTTGCAAATTTGTCAACTCTTTGGAGTTGCTGTAAATTTGTTTTCAAGCATTGCTGTTTATTATAACTTTAAGGTGCATTATTTAAAATACAAATCATTTTTAACCCAGAGAAAAATACTAGAATTTAGATTATTATAAAATAATCTCAAAACAAAAAAAAATTAAGTCTTCAAATAAGGTAAGAGAGGAAAAGTAAAGTAGGGCTGCTGAGTTTGATAGTTTCAGAGACTAGGATGCTTGTGAAGGAAAAATAAAAACAAAGGATGTTAACCTTTATGCCAAATTCAGATGAACAAGAAAATATCACACTCACCACAGCTATTGTGCAGTTCCCCTATATTAGAGCCTCTGCATCAAATGACAAGCAAGGTCTATCCATCACAGGAACTAACATTTGCACTGCAACCTTTAGCTATCTTTGCTCTCCAGAGAAACTAGACAGTTCCTAAGATAGCAATCAAATACCCCATAGAGTTGTGATAGGGTGTTATAGAAAAAAAAAAAAGATTTGTAGGTTATTTTCTGAATATCCCATGCTCTACAACACTGAGAGAAACCACTTTATCCCAGATGATTTCCCACTGATATCATAGCCAATTCATGTAATTAAATCCTTCCTCCAAACAGAAATGAAGGTTAACTAGTACAAAGCAAGAAGACTACATATATTATTCATTTCTAGTTATTTTATTATTTATTTACAGGAGAAAGTTCCTCTCCTTTTCATCTATGAAGGGCATTTTTCTCTAATATATGTATGTTTCTAAATTATGGTATGGGGCTTTTGCTTCCCATTATACCAATAGGCTGAGAATTCTAGAAATTTGTATATATTTTCACAAATGTCCTCTTATAAGTCAGCAGCTATCTTTGAGGACATGGGGATCTTCATTACATTCATATTTTCACTAAACATAGCTATTTACACTCTTCTTTCCTTCATTTATACCTCTTCATTTTAAGGACTATTCACAAGTATTTGTTTAGGTACACCAGAACCTTAACCTTACTTTTCTCAGATTGTTTCCTTAATCTTGCTACTCTAAAACAAGTTGTATAATAGGTTCACAAGCTTAATAGTGGCTTTTCTTGCCTCAAGTAATTCTACTTCATAAGAACTTTATACTGTTCTTTGGAACTTTTTCTACCTCATTAAATTGTTTCAGTTATTTGTTAAGACCCATTAATACTTACTTTCTTGCAAAGTTTAGTGACATCTGCTAAAATGCTAGTGTTGAAAAACCTGGGCAGGTCTTCGATCATGGACCACATTACCTGAGGATACCTGAGACTGGTGGTTCTCTACATTGAGTCTACTCTCCCTCAAGCACATGATCATTTAATCTCTTCCTTCTGGGTTTATCTTACAGGCTTACCTTTAGGTAGTTCTGGAAACACTACCCTTTGACATATTAAAAGTCTTTGTGGAGAGGCCATACATTCTGCAGAGTAAAGCATGACAACCCGTTAAATAATGATGTAAGATTTTGTATTGCTAAGGTTATGAATATCTTTAGGCATGTTCCCTTTATAAAGAATGTTGTCCTTTTCAGATAACTGTGCTAAACAATACTAGATTTCTTGAAACCCTATTTAAGCTATGTCTAAACAGTAAAATTATTGGAGCTGAATAATAACTTTGTATATGATTTTAAATTATAATTTTTTCTCCCTTGGTTTTGATTTTGCCATTGAGGTCCATGTATCCAGTGATGATCATATGTGACATGGTAAATAAGAGAGAATTAAGACAAAACTTTCTTAAAGTAATACTTATATTCCCATGAATATTCCTTTTAAAAGGAAATCATATAATCTTTTGTGTACTTCATTTATTTCTGCCTTTATTCAGCAAACTACTGTTTAGTACAAAGAAGATATCTTTTTCCTTCAAGAGGCTAACAGTGTAATGGGAGTGCTACTGGGAAATGAAAAACAAAGTATAAAATCATCTGAATTCTGTAACTGCTACTTTTGTAAAAGCATGTTTAATTTTTTTCGGTGGGTTACAGATGATGAAATTAACTGTCTATGAAAGGCCAAGACAACTCCCTTCACAGATTTGAGTAGGAATTCTTCAGGTAGAAGTAGGAGTATAGACTTTAGGAACAAGAAATAAGTGCAAAGTCACAGGAG